ATCCACCCTCTTTGGTTTGGCTTTTCAATCAATCAGCAAGTCCTTGTATAAATGGCCTCACTGTGACTCTCACCTGTTCTCAGCGGACAACCTTTATTTTAAGGTAAAGCCATTCAAGCTTTCTGTCCCGCGGGGCCGCAGCTCCATTTCTTTACGGGTCGACTTGAGCGGAGCCGCTGCACTAAACTTTCAGGCTGGCAGTTGATGGTGTCGTCAAAGAAGGTCACATCCTTGACTACTGAAATCAAGTACGCAGTGTACTTAGCATTTAAGTAGTTGAAGTTGTGAGTGCAGTGTTGTAAGGTGACTGACAATAAAGATGCGCTGCCCATTCTAAACCTGCCTGTTGGGAATGGGCTGTTTTCTTGGTCTGTGATGATGCTGGTTGCAGCTTTTCTTTCCGAAACTGCAGCAGTGATCTGCAGTAATTGAGTCGTGGCGAGTAGAGAACATATAGCGTTTCCAAATCTCCCCACCAAATTCAACACTGCACTTCCTTAGGCCCTTTACGAGACACATGTGGAGTGTGAAGCTGGCAAGATAAACGGTTCTCAAGACACGCGAGCAGCAGAAGCCGATTCTGTCGAGATGACTTTTCCGATCCAGTGTGGACCAGAACCCGAAAGAACCTGAGTGGTCTGTGACTGGCTCAAGTGAAAGTGCGGAGCTGTTTCAGAACACAATCAGTACCCCCATAGGAGAATTAATTGCGCAGCACAGCAGTACAGTTAATCTTTAGCGTTTTTGGCTCTAAACTCACCCCCCCTGCAGCACAGTCTCCCTGCAGAGCCTGCACAGGGAGATTGGGAGGAGATATCTTCTGCTCAGGAACTAAAGAATCAAAGCAGGATGCTGGGGTGGTGATGGGCTTGATTAAAGCAAAAGCCGCAGCACTAATGGTTTTGGAGAAACTTGCAGAGGAATGACGAAGGTGCATTGCTAAATTTATGTTTTGGGTAGGTGTTGAAGAGATGTCAGAAAATAGAAAGCCTCACTCACATACTGTGAATGTGTTGTCATACATTTCATTTCACTAAAAGCGCAGTGGGATCGAGGTATTCAGTACAGGAGCAAACACGTCTTTATCACCTGAGTGAACTGAACCATTAGCGACCGAATCAGCAGCTTTTTAAAAGTGAAGCGATTGAAATTTGTGACATTCATCTGTCGGCTCAGTCGTGACACGTATTCTGGTTTAAAGCTTTGCTGTAAAATCCACAGAACCATGACTCTGACTCAGAGAGGCGGTTGATGAGCTCCATAACATGAACCACATCAAATATACAAAGATTCAAGGCTATAATGAGGACATCACTGCATTATGAACTGTAAAGTCCAATTACTACCATAGTTTGACATTGGCTTTTATATTTAAAGTCCCAAGATTCAAGCCCTGGGATGTCGGCTGTGACTGCGTTTAGGATAACTGGTTTTGACGGATCTTTGCATTGACCAGAACAAGATGAATTATTCAAATAATTAGTCAAATCCACCTCTAACATATAAAAGAAACTGGATTTGTACTTTTCTGTAACCGTGAGATATCCAGTCCACCTATTCCCACAACACAACACAATTCATTCTCTCCTTTTCACAATGAAATGGACGCCGACATAATTTCCTGGCAACGTTAATTAAAGAGCTGAGTTGGGATAAAGAAAACCGAGCTGAGCGCCATGAGGGAGCGAAGACGTCTCATCTCGGGTTTGGATTCAAACAAACAAATCCAGTGCGAAAGCAGCCCTCGTCTCTGACAGGTGGTTTGGGCTGTAAAGCAACGATCAGTGGTTCAGGAATCGAAATGCCTCGGGGGAATCGAGCCTTTGATGTCGACGCAGAAGCTCGGACGGGCAAGTGGGAGATTTGGGTTTGTTTTCCATTTATAGTTATACAACAAAGGAAAGGGAGTATTTTAAGATGCCGCCCTCCTCCGTCTCTTTGGACAGCTTTCGTTTACTGGCAAATGAGCATGGGGGGTGCAGACCCTCCTCCCTGCTTCGTTGGGCCGTTTGTATAATGTTCACATTGATTTCAGCCTTGGCATCAAGGATGACACCTCCGCATCGGGCCAGAGAGGAGAAGGATCAACCTCATTTATCCCCAAAGCTCACAATAAGCTGAGGATGTGTGTGGGCGTGTGTCTGAGGGAGAAAGACACATTTAGAGAATTTAGGCAGCACGCTGGCGTGCATCTCTGTGCACATTTACTGAATCTGCATGTAAGTCGTGTGTGCGTCCTGCGTGTCAGAGCGATGTTGAGATAGCAGATGTGTTGTAGAGCTGCAGAGAACAACACAACCGGGGTGAAGACAAATGAAAAACCCTCATAAGTCAACTTCTCTCCTGCAAAACGAGACAACTAGGACACGCAGACAAAGGGCGCATTGACATCAGCGGTGACACACGGGTGGCAGCTGTACACATCATGTCATTCACTTGTGGCTGCGGTGAAAGGGGACTCTGTCACACAAAGTCGTGTCTGCTGAGCTTTCATCCATGTGGGAAATGTGTAAAATAATGCAGGCTGTTGTTCGTGAAATTATAATGTAACCATTGCTTCTTGTATTTAGTTTAAATGGTTTCAGAAAATAGAAAAGAGCGGTTACACAAGCCGGTCAATAAAAGACTCAATCACGAAAGAACAAGTAAATGGATTTTTCTACATTAAGCAAACATTAGAAGTTATCGAACAGAAATGTAATTCATGCGAGAATCTAACAAATTGATAGTGTTTGCCCTCCGGCCTTTCCAGCCCAACATATCGCTATCAGCGTTTATAATTGCAGATTTGAAGACTTCCATTTTACAACATAAGCAATGCAGAAAAGCTGTGGATTTATTTTTACATTTTATATGAAATATTATGAATTCAAGTTCTATATATTTGTTTATTACGTGATACATCAAATGTTGATTACATTTCTTCGTCATTAGGGTTTCACAGGGACATCTTAGGAGTCACTGACTTCCATTTTAGCTAATATATTGGGAATTGAAATGTTTAATAATTCTGAGTCATTAGTCAGGCTGAATTTTTCACTATATAACAACACACATTTTTCTCATAATATAATTTAATGCAGCAACAAGAAATGAGTTTTCAAAAGATCTTGGAGAAATACTACGAGCTAAGCTTTGGAAACATCAAGGTCACAAAGTCACAATAGTTAATGGGTTAAAACTTGCAAAACCACCACTATGGACTTTTAAGCTGCTGCAGTGGTTTTGTTCCATATCTCTGCAATTTCTTCTGTCGATTATAAGACATAAGAAATGACATTAGTGATAACAGCACCAGAATATATAATTCACTTTACATAGCACCAGTGTCAAACTAAAAAGGAGATCTAAAGACATTTGAAGGATGGAACCTGTGCACTGAACTGTGCTGTATAAAGGCTGCTTGTCTTTTCTCAATGACAGTGATGTACCAGTTTAGATTACATGGTCCTGCAGAGAACAGGGGGTTTGTCTCATGAGATGTCTGATGCAACATAAAGCAACCTGTGCCCCGGAGCTCACACTCCCGGCTACACCAATGCTGCTTTCCTGCACAGCGCTCACAATATCATTATACACCCACAGGCAATGGACACTCAGAGATAAATGTGTTTATTCTGTGCAACACGGAGGATGTTGAATATTCTTAGCTCAGCATTCGGACTCTTCTCCTAAAGCTTATTTTACCTGTCATGGAAATAAATATCAGTCATTCACCAGTGGTTTGGTCATATCTGCGAATCTGTATGTTTGTAGTTAACCGCAGATATAAAGCGTCACCGACAGAGACTTCAGTTTTGCTGCCTACGTGATTTGGTGATTTGACCCCTTCCGAAGGTCGTAGAAGCTCGGGGGTGGTACCAATGGATCGGGCATACCCACATTAGTTCAGATGGAACCAACTTCCAAGTCTCTATGACCTTCAGAAAAAAAGTTACTTAAGAATAACTTGATCTCCAACGGGTTTTCACCCCTGCCCCAACCCTACATGTGTAATTGACATGTGACGTCCTGTTAATCCGAGCAACACAGCAGGAGGGAGCTGATGCAAACACGTCAAAGCAATCAGTCGACAAGGGCCTCAGATATTTTCCACTGACGAAACGTCCATTTATCGTTACCAGGGAAGTCTGGGATTTCAAGGCAGCAAATTTCATATAAAATAATTGTTTTCTTTTTGCCATTTTAAAAAAGCTCATTACAGCAAATATTACTGATCTAACTTTGGATGGCATTTCTTTTCCAAACCGCGTTATTCAACTTCAAGATGATGAACACCACAAAACAAAGGTTGTATCTTCAGAGCAAAATCGAACACTTGACCACAAACATTCTTCTAGAAAAGACACGTTACCACAGGATGCAGTGAGAGTTTGTTTGTCACACACACACACACACACACACACACACACACACACACACACACACACACACACACACACACACACCAATATTTCACGAACCTCCTTACTTCATTCAAACCTCCTCCAGAACCTGAACTCATCCTAACCCTGACCTGCTTATACATTCAAACACACATGCATACATTGTCTTGCTGCCTTCCGTATTGCATCTATGTTACAGAAGCCCCTAAATTTATTGCAGTAATAAAGTTTTATTATTGTCTGAGTTTCAGCCTGTAGATTTATCCCCTAATAACATTCCATGCTACATGAGCAGCTGCCTTTAAAACAAAAGTAAGGCAGAATAAATGTTTATTATTCTATATATATATATATCTCACTATATCAAACCATAGATCAACTTTTAAAGTAGTTTGATGACTCAAACCTTTGAAATAACAGAACAACGTCCTCGAACAATGAATCTCTATCTCAAAACACACAACTGAAACAACTGGACCGATGGGAGATTGATCCATCAATCTGTGATCACCACAGTTCAGCACGACAAAAACAAAATCCGTCGGACACAGTGACACAACAATCAGGAAAAACTGAGCAGAAAGAAAAGAGAGAAACGAGTCTTCGTCTGCCTACCTGTACCAGCGACATGTTGCTGAGGTCCAGTCGGAACAGGTAGTTTCTGGATTGAGGACAAACGACAGGAAGACAAGTGAGTGTGGGCTCAGTTTGACCTTTATCCAGAGAAATGTGTTAAATGAAGTGTCAGAGCAGAGACAGACGATTTTAGCTGCTGTCAAATCAAAGCAAAGCTGATTGGAGGATGTATTCTAATTATCCTTCTGTCATCTTAGTTTCCTTTAAGTCGGAGTGTGTGTTTTTGTCATGCATACTGGATATAATTTGCATTTGTGTGTGTGTGTTTTTAAAGAGAGATCAAACCAGGTCATGAAAATGTGTGCACACATAAATACAAGATTGTGACATGACGCATTTCTTCCAAATTCATCCCTTCTGCCAAATCCAAAGCCTGATATGGTCCAACGAGGCCTCGGCAGAGCACTTAAGAAGCGTCATTATCCGAAATGTGAGCGTGAGTCAGAAAGGGTATCAAGTTCTGAGTAATGTGCTCGTTGCGGTGAGAAGCCGAGTGGATTTACAGTCTCTTACCTGGCACCCACAATAAGCTCATTCCTGGTCAGGTCAAGGGTGAGCTGGGAGTAGTCTTGCACACCCGGGTGGGAGAAAGTAGATATCCACGGACTGAGCGCTGAAAGAAAGAAACGAAAGAGAGAGGTTAGCTAAAGCTTAATGAGATCATAGGTCATGTGATAAAAGAAGTGACATTTACAGGAAATACTCACATAAGCACAATAGAGCCAAACCTTCGAATGTTTATGTTGGAAATAAAGCAGGAAGGAGTCTGATAACCTAATGATTCCTTCGTCACAAAATATTTTAAAAGAAAGTGAAAGTAATTCTTGTGTCTGCTCCTTCTTCCACTTACGCTCAGGCTTCAGTTCAGTCATTTTTGCATAATCCTCAGTAGAGTGCAAACCTCCGCCAAGGACCAACAGTTTCCTCAAATGCAATCAAGCTGCACCAGATTTCACACAATCATAAATATCAGTTCCCTAAATATGCCTGATTTCTGTCATCAGTGAAAATGGTAAATGGAATTCCTGGATCCTCAGCAACATATGAGTTCTTCCCTGACCCACACTGCCTCCTTTCACCAAGATCCATGTTACCGCCCAGTAATGTTAGTGTGATGCTGCTAACTAACACACACACTAATACACACAAACCAACTAGACCGGCACTCGGTGAGCGCACGCATCTTGCAATGTTGAAAAGAAAAGTGAAAATACATTTCCTAGATCCGACTCCCCTCCAAAAGTGAATGTGTTCTTCCTTGGCCCAAAACCAACCCTTCCATCTTGATTCAATAAAATCAGATCTGCAGTTTAAGCGAAATCCTGCTGAAAGACAGACAAAGCAATGGAATCCAAACCTCCTTGGCTGAGATCTCAAGCAGACGAGGGAAAAAATAACCTTCTTGGCAGGAGGTAATTATGAAAATCAGTCATTTGGTGAAGAAAAGTCTCAAATGTTTGACTGCAGCCTCTGAAATTAGAAGATTTTGTCATTTTCCTTGTTTGTTTTGGGACTAAGGAAAAGTGAAAATATGCAAACCTGCACTCTGATCTTGATGAACGGTATTAAAAACGGTTTTTACCTTTTTCCACGAAGCACTTAATCAATTATTTTTAAAAAATGACTGCTGTATTGATGATGAGAAACACAACTGCAGCTGTAGCAGTAAAAAAAAAAAAAAGAAGAAGCAGTGAATGGAGCAGGGAAATCTCTCAATGGGATGGTGTCTCCTGCAGAGAGGGACAAAACTGTCCGGGCCACATCAGACACAACGATCCTGATACGACCTGACACTCGGACAAACACGGCTCTGTGTGGCGTGCGTCGCTGAATCCTGCGCGCAGTTTGAAACTGGCTTCCACGAATCTGACAAGGTCGAAAACTCACAAGAGACAAGAGCATTTTCTGTGTGACCCAGAGAGCAGACTTTTCCAAAACAGATTCCACCTCATGGGAGGTTTGTGCAGCATAAAAGGATTTACCCTATTCCCCATGTTAAACACAGAATCACAGCACTCACTGGAAATTCAGACGCACTTTACCAATCTGAAAAGCTGTGTTAAATGGCTTTCAGCTCCTGCCACAAAACCAAAAAAGGAAAATAAATGGCTGTAAATTACTAATCCAATGCCTCGGTTGTCAAAACAACGGTGAAACTATTAACTATATTGTTCTGGCGTAAATTCTAAAGTATTCACATGATAAAAAATGTAAAGTAAGTTATGAAAAACTTAAAAAACGGAACACGATGAGATGAAAAAAGAGGCCACGCTGCTGAAAAACGTATTCACTAAAGCGCTCATCAAACATTTAAAACCTTATAACTTCATTTTTTAAACATTAAAGAAGCTCGTGTGAAGCTCGAGGCTACGACATCAAAGTGCTGGAAAAAGTGAGCGGTGACGAGGGATGGATTTGAGGATTGATGGGGCCCATATGGCTCAGTCACCTGGAAACATAAGTGGAGATGTGAGTGATGGGCTGAAGCTGCAGAATAGTGTGGTGCTCTTCATTTAAACTATATATAAACAACACACACACACACACAGACACACACACACACACAGAAGAGACAGAGTGAGGGTGCCAGCTCTGACAGTGGACATCAGTGAGATGACAACTATCTGCCACAATCTGGTTTCTCCAGATGTGGATCAGGAGGAGGTGGTTTTCACTGAGTTGCTGTCAGCCTCAACTTTACTCCAGCTCTTATGGATGTGACCAGGACTGACTCATCATTTTAACAATATAATTAATATAATAAAATCACTAGATAAAAGATTGCATGCGTCAGATTATCTTGAAATTTGGAATTAATTTGATTAAAAGTCAATTATTAGAGTCCAATTTGTTTTATTTTACAAAATTAAACAAAATATAAGAAACTAGATAATTTCTTAATTCAAGTCCTAAATATTTGGTTTAATTATATTTCAATTTACAATAATTTAGAATCAAGATTACAGTGAAACTGTTTATCGTTATCATTGTGGGCGAGAGTATGTATTTAAAAAGTACTGGTCATTGTAGTTTTCAACAAACATATTAAATATAAGTCAATCTACCGTTGATTGGTTTAGTATTTCTGCAGCAGGACAGTTTATGTGTTCACAGTTGAAACCGTTTGACTCATCTGTGAGTTTCTAAATCTTTTGGACGATAGACGATAGTAGCTCAATACAACGCAGAGGAATAAGATCTTCAGGATACACACGAATACACGGGTATCAATCAATTTTGGTTCCACTCTTTTCATGGAGTTAAAATCGTTCATCGACTTCTTCACAGACCATAAAAAGGGAGAGCTGCAAGAAAACGTTAACACTTCTGGTTGACAAAGTTCACACTGGGTCCAAACTGTTTCCCTGACAAAACTCCACCCTGTAACATTCAGAAAATAAAAAGACAGAAGAGGAAAACCTTTCCTTGATGGCCAGCATTTTATTGAGCGTTTAAAGACGCAGGTGGTGGATGACCAGTGTTCTGTCTCCTATTATTGAAGCTTTGGTCACATTAGATTATATCATTGTTTTCAGTTAATCTCTTGAATTAGCTCTTAATCCAAACCGCCGCTATGGGTCACACTTTAATCCAAATGCACGTCATTGTCCATCAGATTTCAGCAGTGAAGAAGCTTAGTTTGGCTTCATCAGAGTGTGAATATACAGATTTAATGCTGTGATTTGAAATGATAGCGAAGTCTACATCTAATACAATATCTGATTAATCATGAGCCATAATTAGGTACATGTGTCCTGCATGTATAGTGCCCAGACGCTCAGAGAAGAAAAAGTCGTACCGGCACATAAATTCCCTGAAGCCACAAAATGATGCATGGTTAATTATATCCACAATAGCTCCGGTTTCATTCACAACAATAATAAGAGAAACATGAACGAGGAACAACGATGACTTTTATTCAACCAGCGCAGAGACGTAACCTTTAAACACACGCACACACACACACACACACACACACACAGGATTAAATCACTGATAACCTTAACACACATAATAAATCACTGGATGTCACAGTGCTATTCTGATACTAAACATATTCTACATCTCTTATATTGTCCCTATAAATATTTACATTACATATATGCACATATAGGTCGGTTCCATTTCTCAAATTTGAGCCTGGGCACATCTTTGATATGTGGGGGGGGGGTTTAGAAAATGTACAGAAGGAGGCGAGTGTACATCACCCTCTGATTAATGGCTGCAGAGGCCAGAGCTGGACGGGCAGAGGGGGAGAGGCAGCGAGTAAAGATCATCCTCAGCCACACGATATTATGTAAATAGAGTCGAGGAGCTGACTTAAAGAATACAACACGCTCACAGGCAGCGAGTGTGAACAGAGCGTGTGTGTGTGTGTCTGTGTGTGTGTGTGTGTGTGTGTGCAGTGTCCGTGTAAATGTGAGAACAGAACATGAGATCACAAATGAGATCATTAAAGTTCACTTTAAACAACGACTACATTAACATGCACAGCAACACATCATTAGCTTTCCAGAGATTATCATTTAATACAAAAATACAAAATACGTTGTGAGGAAAACACAAAGCAAACACTGGAATGTGCAAATATTACTATTATATTAAAGTTGTAAAAAGGCGGACTTTTGAAATCTACGAGGAAGCAACATCTTGAAGGATTATGATCGCGACACAAGAATATCACTTTAATGTTCTTAAAGGTTTCTAAAGTTTCCCATTATGGTCGAAATTTTTTAAAAACCAAAAAGAGTGCTACTCATTAAAAAGAAGTACGAGGTGACCTGAGACTTCGTCTGTGTCTCAGAAAAATACAGCAGCCATCAAACCGAAACTGAAGCCCCGCCCCCTTCATTACACAAAATACGACCTGGAAAACACCCAGAAAAAAAAAGTGACGTAATTTAAGAGAAGACTGTTAGGAGGTGACTTATTGTCCACATAAAAATGAGACCATGAAATCGGAGCATATGACATGAATCATAAACTGAGAATGCGCGGTGGCGAAACAGATAACAAGAGCATTATTCCCAGAGAAACGTTTGTGGAGCCAAGAGTAAAAACAAGAGCTGTTAGTGCGGTTCAGAGAATTTCATGTGAAGCGTAAATCACTTGGAATTTGAATTGTAGAAGCAGAAAAACATTTCACACAACACGGACGTCTCTTCAAAGCTTGTAAAAAAAAGAAAAAAGAAAAAAGAAGAGCCTGAGTTTGATTCATGCAGGACGGCTCATGAACCGTGAGCGTGTTTACTCTCCTAAAGAGGCCTCTCTGACAGCGAGGGGTCTTTCAGTGACTGACATTTATCCTTCGTCTACAAGTGGTTTTATATGCCTTGCTCACTTCTTGCCCTTATAACTGTCTGGATGGGTGGTGGGGGGAAAGCCCCAATAAAGACAGGATGAATATGAAAGCCCACTCCCTCAAGGTCGACCTGTGGGCCCCAAGCTGGACTTGATGAACGATTATTGCGTCCCCCCCCCCCCTTCTGCAAACGGCAGGGAGACGGATTAATGCATTAGCCTGCGGCTGTCACAGGGATGAGTGGAAGGATGAGGACGACGGCGGAGGCATTCGTCTCCCACAGATATAAATCATAACTTTTCTATCTCCTT